CTCCCTCCCTCCCTCCTCCTCCTCCTCCTCCTCCTCCTCCTCCTCCTCCTCCTCCTCCTCGTCCTCGTCCTCCTCCTCGTCCTCCTCCTCGTCCTCCTCCTCCTCCTTTTCCAAAAATAAACAACAATCGCCATACACACAGGTTTGACCATGACCTTGAGTCTGGGTCCCTGCGTGTTCCCGTTCTCGTACAAGGGCGAGGTCCACGAGCGGTGCAGTTGCAAGGATGCCCCCGCGTGCTGGTGCCCGACCTCGCTCAACGACAACCGCGAGCCAGCTGTTACCGACTACTGCAAGGGTGAGTGTGGATGGCTCGTTACTGGGGCTCTGTGGCTGTTGTTGTTATTTTTTTTTTTTTTTTTTTTTTTTTTTTTTTTTTTTTTTTTTTTTTTTTTTTTTTTTTTTTTTTTTTTTTTTTTTTTTTTTTTTTTTTTTTTTTTTTTTTTTTTTTTTTTTTTTTTTTTTTTTTTTTTTTTTTTTTTTTTTTTTTTTTTTTTTTTTTTTTTTTTTTTTTTTTTTTTTTTTTTTTTTTTTTTTTTTTTTTTTTTTTTTTTTTTTTTTTTTTTTTTTTTTTTTTTTTTTTTTTTTTTTTTTTTTTTTTTTTTTTTTTTTTTTTTTTTTTTTTTTTTTTTTTTTTTTTTTTTTTTTTTTTTTTTTTTTTTTTTTTTTTTTTTTTTTTTTTTTTTTTTTTTTTTTTTTTTTTTTTTTTTTTTTTTTTTTTTTTTTTTTTTTTTTTTTTTTTTTTTTTTTTTTTTTTTTTTTTTTTTTTTTTTTTTTTTTTTTTTTTTTTTTTTTTTTTTTTTTTTTTTTTTTTTTTTTTTTTTTTTTTTTTTTTTTTTTTTTTTTTTTTTTTTTTTTTTTTTTTTTTTTTTTTTTTTTTTTTTTTTTTTTTTTTTTTTTTTTTTTTTTTTTTTTTTTTTTTTTTTTTTTTTTTTTTTTTTTTTTTTTTTTTTTTTTTTTTTTTTTTTTTTTTTTTTTTTTTTTTTTTTTTTTTTTTTTTTTTTTTTTTTTTTTTTTTTTTTTTTTTTTTTTTTTTTTTTTTTTTTTTTTTTTTTTTTTTTTTTTTTTTTTTTTTTTTTTTTTTTTTTTTTTTTTTTTTTTTTTTTTTTTTTTTTTTTTTTTTTTTTTTTTTTTTTTTTTTTTTTTTTTTTTTTTTTTTTTTTTTTTTTTTTTTTTTTTTTTTTTTTTTTTTTTTTTTTTTTTTTTTTTTTTTTTTTTTTTTTTTTTTTTTTTTTTTTTTTTTTTTTTTTTTTTTTTTTTTTTTTTTTTTTTTTTTTTTTTTTTTTTTTTTTTTTTTTTTTTTTTTTTTTTTTTTTTTTTTTTTTTTTTTTTTTTTTTTTTTTTTTTTTTTTTTTTTTTTTTTTTTTTTTTTTTTTTTTTTTTTTTTTTTTTTTTTTTTTTTTTTTTTTTTTTTTTTTTTTTTTTTTTTTTTTTTTTTTTTTTTTTTTTTTTTTTTTTTTTTTTTTTTTTTTTTTTTTTTTTTTTTTTTTTTTTTTTTTTTTTTTTTTTTTTTTTTTTTTTTTTTTTTTTTTTTTTTTTTTTTTTTTTTTTTTTTTTTTTTTTTTTTTTTTTTTTTTTTTTTTTTTTTTTTTTTTTTTTTTTTTTTTTTTTTTTTTTTTTTTTTTTTTTTTTTTTTTTTTTTTTTTTTTTTTTTTTTTTTTTTTTTTTTTTTTTTTTTTTTTTTTTTTTTTTTTTTTTTTTTTTTTTTTTTTTTTTTTTTTTTTTTTTTTTTTTTTTTTTTTTTTTTTTTTTTTTTTTTTTTTTTTTTTTTTTTTTTTTTTTTTTTTTTTTTTTTTTTTTTTTTTTTTTTTTTTTTTTTTTTTTTTTTTTTTTTTTTTTTTTTTTTTTTTTTTTTTTTTTTTTTTTTTTTTTTTTTTTTTTTTTTTTTTTTTTTTTTTTTTTTTTTTTTTTTTTTTTTTTTTTTTTTTTTTTTTTTTTTTTTTTTTTTTTTTTTTTTTTTTTTTTTTTTTTTTTTTTTTTTTTTTTTTTTTTTTTTTTTTTTTTTTTTTTTTTTTTTTTTTTTTTTTTTTTTTTTTTTTTTTTTTTTTTTTTTTTTTTTTTTTTTTTTTTTTTTTTTTTTTTTTTTTTTTTTTTTTTTTTTTTTTTTTTTTTTTTTTTTTTTTTTTTTTTTTTTTTTTTTTTTTTTTTTTTTTTTTTTTTTTTTTTTTTTTTTTTTTTTTTTTTTTTTTTTTTTTTTTTTTTTTTTTTTTTTTTTTTTTTTTTTTTTTTTTTTTTTTTTTTTTTTTTTTTTTTTTTTTTTTTTTTTTTTTTTTTTTTTTTTTTTTTTTTTTTTTCTTTGTTTGTTTTGTTGTTGTTGTTGCTATTGTTTTGTCATTATTGTTGCTTATTGTTTAAATTATTATTATAACCTATTATTCGTTTTTTTACATTAATTTTGTCATTGTTATTCTATCATTAGTACCCTAGTAATCATTGTTGTTGTAGGATCAGCTGGTCGAGCTCTCTCTCATTACCTTTCTGTATTATTGCGTTTTTCTCTCACCTCGTAGGCCTGTTGGAGGGCTCCGTGCCTGAGGTGTCGCCGCCAGCCTTCGGTAAGTCCTTTGGCACTCTGTGTGTGTGTGCGTGTGCGTGTGCGTGTGCGTGTGTGTGTTCGTGCATTGCGTGCGTGCGTGCTCCCATTCCTTTCTCCCTCCTCTCCGTGCCTCCATCCCTCTGTCGGCCCCCAATTTTCCATCATCCAGTCCTCTTCCACCTCCCTCCTTCTCCATTTTCTTTCCCATACTTTCTCTGCTCGCTCCTGCTTTTCCCACTAACCCCAAGATTTTCATTCACCCTTTTCTCCCTCCCTCCCCATTGCTTCACTCCCTTCTTTTATCCCTCCCTCCCTCCCTTCTTCCCTCCCTCCCCCCTCCCCCCTCCCTCTCCCATTCACCCTTCTCCCTCCCTTCGTCAGGAGCGGACGCCGCCACGACTGTGGACGGGGTCCCTTGCGTGTTCCCGTTCCGCTTGGGCGACGTGATCTACACGCGGTGCACGGAGGCGTCGCGCGGGGCCCCCTGGTGCGCCACGCAGGTCGACGCGGCGCTGCGCCCCGTCAGGAGCGGCTTTTGCAAGGGTGAGGAGACGGGGCGCGGGTTCGGGGCTTCTCGGGGGTTCTCGGGGTTTCTCACTTGTTCTCGTTGTTTTCATTGTTGTGTTTGGGTCGCGTTCCCAGTGTCCTTAGTCATAGGCATTATCGTGTTTTTTTTCTTTTTCTTTGTTTGTTTTGGTATTTGTGTTTCTTTTTTTTGCTGATTATTTTAATGATGCTTGTATTCATTCTTTGATTCATTTTGTTTGTTTGTTTTTTCTTTTTTTCGTTTTTATTTTATTATTCATCGTCTTTTGCTTCTTTTCCTCTTCCTTTCCTCTTCCTCTTTAGAGTGGAAATTTTCTTGTTCTTTAAATGCAAACATACGATATTTTCCAGGGTTTATGTAATTCTCATTTACATATATCTCTTTTCCTACAGATTCTTAATAGTTTTCTTGATAATTCGTCTTTTATTAAATTAAATATAAAAAAAACGGATTAATACGTCATCTTCTCCTCTGATTATTTCATTCTTTTAGATTAAAGATAGAAGTAGATATAGAAGTTAAAGAGGAAGAAGGGAAATATAAATAAATAAATAGGAATTTTAATACGTCATTTTGTATTTACTTATAACTCTAAATAATCCCATTTGCTTTTGCTTGTTCATGATAATATTCACACATTCATTTATAGCTCGTATTATATTGAATGTATATTATAAATAGATTAGAATGAATTTTAAAAATATTATCGTAATATGTCACCAATTACATTTACTTCTTTGCCTAATTATTCGCGAGTGAACAACCATTACTTACATTTCCCTCACTGCTTAAAGGCGTCGGCGAGGCGAGCGCGGAGTCTCCAGTAGTCTTACCGGAGGACAATTAACAGCAGGTGAGCAGAGGTCGCGAGTCAGGTGGGTGTAAGGTAAGGTCAAAGGATGTTGTGGGATGTTGTAAGTTTTTTTTTTTTTTTTTTTTTTTTTTTTTTTTTTTTTTTTTTTTTTTTTTTTTTTTTTTTGCTGGGGAAGGGGGGGGGGGGTGATAGATAATTACGTATATACCATTTTAGTAAATTGCAGACTTACAGTAAACAGATACACACTTGTTTTGTTACATATCTAATTATTATCCATTATTATTCTTAACAGTAGTAGTAATAGTGATAGTAATGATAATCATCATCATCATCAACTTGCCGTTCCTCTGTAACAGAGGTTCTTAACCCAGACGACGTCAGTAATTTCCAAGGGGGTGGAGGGGAAAAAAGGAGGAATTTCTCTAATATAGTGTGTTATTCTCTTAACAAGAGCATGGTTAAATAACGAGAAGGTTGATGCTGAAATGACTAATTCGTACTCAGTAGAAAAGGCTCAGAACATATTGATATTTTTCTTTAAAATCTGGGAGGAATCTTATTTATAGTTGCAAGGGAGGGGCGTGGAGGGAAGGACAAACTCTTAGATGAGGCGTGGTATTAAAGAGGTTAAGCACCGCTGCTTTATAAACCGCAGGCACCACCAACAGGTCGCTCGTGACGCGGAAGCAGATCACAGACCCCGAGGAGGCCGTCACAAGCTCTTCACTTCTCCGGCCGACCTGCAGGATGCTTGCGTAGGATAGGGAGATATTTATATACATATGTTATGACTTGTTCATTTTAAATCTTGAATTCATTGTTAAGTGAGTGAAGAAACTTGTTTTGATTATGTACAAGTGTATGAGTAGGCTGGGATTTATTTGATGTGATGAGAAAAGCAAAAGTTATAATGTGACTTGTAACATTGAGAATGGAGTTAATGTGATTTGCTGTATCTCTCTCTGACTTTGTTTTTCTCTCTCTCTCTCTTTCCGTTCCCCTCCCTCCCTTAATTCCCCTCTCTCTGTCCCCCAATCCCTCTCTTTCTCTTTCTGTCCTCCTCTTCCTCTCGTTCTCTCCCTCCTCCTCCCCCTCCCACTCTCCCTATCCCTCTCTTTCTCTCTGTCCCCCTCTCCCTCTCTTTCTCTCTGTCCCCCTCTCCCTCTCTTTCTCTCTGTCCCCCTCTCCCTCTCTTTCTCTCTGTCCCCCTTCCCTCTCTTTCTCTCTGTCCCCCTTCCCTCTCTTTCTCTCTGTCCCCCTCTCCCTCTCTTTCTCTCTGTCCCCCTCTCCCTCTCTTTCTCTCTCTCCTCTCCTCTCTCTCTCTCTCTCTCTCTCTCTCTCTCTCTCTCTCTCTCTCTCTCTCTCCCTCCCTCTCTCCCATCTCCCTCTCTCTCTCTCCCTCCCCCTCTCATCCTTTCTCCCTCTCTCTCACCAACACCCTTTCTCCCTCTCTCGCTCACCCTCCCTCCCTCCCTCCCTCACCCTCCCTCCCCCCCTCTCCTTCTACCACTTCGATACTCGAAGCGCCTCTATTTAAACTGATGAAATGGAATAAAGTCACATTAATCGAACTATCCGTTTGAAATATCATTTTTGCCTTTTTGTTGCTTACATTTTTATGAATATTACTTGAATATGTACTGATTTTCTGAACACACACATTAACACATTAACACAAACAAACACACTCACTCACTCATTCACTCACTCACTACATACAGTACATACATACATGTTTGCACATACATGTTTGCTTACTTATGCATTTACTTTCTTGAGTACAACGGCGTGGACAATATACCAGTTTTATCCAAGCGACAAGAAAGGCTTTGGACACGCGTCCCACTGAAACAGTCCGCGCCCCGACGAAAGAGGCTCAACAAGTCATCATTACGAGGTTGACAAGCGACATGTAGCAACTATGATTTAGGAATTGAGAGGACGAACTCAAACTCCACTTCATATCGTGTCTTACGTTGCAAATTTGACTCGGTTCACAGAGTAAACTAAAATTGGTAGCTCCAATTGCTAAGAAAATTTCCACTATAAACAAAATAAAAACCAGTGCAGTTGATTTTCCTGGTTATCTCATATTTAGAATACAGTTCCCTGACTTTTCATTTATTGCTAAGATATTGTGCATGTCTTCACTTATGCCAGGCAGTGTTTGACCCGTTTGTTTTACTGCGTAGTATTTTGTAGATGCCGGTAATGCGCTTGTGATAACTGTAACCACCATCTGCCATATAGTGTTCGGTGTTTCGTTCTATTGTTTCCCGTTTACTCCCTCTTCATCTCCCTCTCCCCTCTACCCCCCCCCCCCGCCTGTTTCCTTTTCCCTCTCTATTATTCTCTTCCTTTCTTCCTCTTTGATCTTTCTCTCTTCTTCTCACCCCCCCCACCCCAAGGTTTCCGTTTCTTTCCCTCCCTCCTCTTTCCTTCCTCTCTCCCTTTGTTTCCCTCTCCCTCTCTCCCATTCTTTCCCTTCCTCTCTCATCATCTTTTCCTCCCCTCTCTCCCACGCTTTCCCTCGCCATCTCCTTCTCTCCCTCTTATATCCCATCTTACCTCCACTTTCCCTCTCCCTCTCCAGCTTTTTTCTTCCATAGTCATTTGGTGTTATCTTTTCCGTAACAAATGGATAGCGAAGTCATTAATTTGTTTAGAGAATTAATTTGTTGATCGCCGATAAGTGAGCGCTGTAAGGTAGGAAAGAATGTACTCCTCTTAATCGCAAATGAGATTTGAGTTCGTTGGTATCGTGAATGAGTTTCTTCTTTGGTACGAATATTGGATGTGAGAATTGAATGTCAGGGAGGAGAATGCTTTATCAGAGGAAATACATTTTTAAGCAATTTGTTCTTTTCTCATGAACGACAAGATAGAAAAATAAGAAATATGGGTAAAGGTAGACAAATTTTATAATTGCGTATTTTAAGTACACAGTGTTACAAAATTTTTAAAAACTGAATATTGATAGTATGTAGTGCGTGAGACTTATCATGAACTTATTACACCGGTATGCCTTTCCTTCTCTTCTTCCCTCAAGATAGACCGATAATGGCAGCAAGGTTTTGAACTTCAACACGCAGGTGCTGACAGGATGATAGGTCAGCCTATTGGGAAATACGTTGGAGAGATTTAGTGGGCGAGTGTACTGTCGAACATACATTGGGAGTTTGCCTCATGTTAGGTGTGTATTTGTTTGAAATTATTGTTTGTAGATGGCTGTGTAGGTACTTTGACAAGAGAAAAGATTATTGGTGATCAAAATTCACCTTGCAATGCCCAATCTGACATTTTTTGTTAATGCTGAGAACATAGCATTTATTTCGCCAATATATGGACACTAATTTTGAGGACAAAAACGTAATTTAATGATGACAGGGGAAGAGAAATCTTACGTTAAGATGTTCAGACGTTCCTAATCCTTGATCAGTACTCCGAAGTGATCAACAAAAGAAGAGAAAAAGATATAACATTTGTAAATATGACTGCCTCCAGAGCCTGGGCGAGAGTAAGAAAATATTGTAAAATCTACACCAGTGTTGGTTTTACATTCAAAGCATTTCATCATATCTTTGCCCGCAGTCACACACACGTTTAACATTCTGTTCACATATCTGAGCACACATTTTCACTAACATGCAAATGTTTACATCTACACTATATATATTATGCAACAGATCTCTATTTCTTCATTTTAACGTACATATCTTGGACCATAAGGAAACGGTGAAAAATTATTAACATACACATACCTTTGTACAAACCAAAATATGCAGTTTTTAAAACTGACAGCTTAAGGGGAACCATTTTCAAATACCTTCTAAAAAGACTGAGAAAACCTTCAGTGTTCCAGAATTTTGGTTCGTCTGGCTGTGTTTGAGGCAAAGGAACTTGGGTTTTAAATATATAAAAAAGACAAAGAGTAAGTAAACAGGTTTATTGGTAAGCTACAGATTAAATGAACATGGAACAGGTCACACTGCTGTACAGCGCTATGTACCTCACCTCAGTGTACAAAAGGAGTCCAAACACAAGGCATGAGCGGCTTCACGTACACAGTGGACCGCGCTTGTATCAAAGTAAGAAAATGTAGAAAAATCTTGGTGACTACCCATTCACAAAATTTCCACACAACATTAAAAAACATATTTAAATATTTTTCATGTTATTTTATAAAACATAAAAATGTATAAGGGCAACAAAAATTAAAACTAAGTCTAGGTGGCAAGTGGGGTCATGACTCTGTGGTCCACGGATGGCACTCGGGAGCGGCACACATTATGCCTGTCGCTTCCCACAAGCTTAACCTACCGCGGAGACTGGAAACCCCACCGTCACTGCCACAGTTACTCCATACTTACAAAAATTAGAAAATGCTTCACCAAACACGCATAAAAATCCATATAGTTACAAAAAGTTAGGTATTGTCCATGGTGGAGAAATAACAAAAATGAGTGAAAATAGCAAAAATTTGCTATAAAACTGGCTATTATCATGACGATGAAAAAGAACATTATCATCGCAATCATCATGCTCATTGCTGCACATGTGTCGCCTGCCAATCAGATATATAAATTCAGGCGAGAAATCCTGGGCAAGAGCTGAGAGACTACAGGCAGGCCTTGCGACACCACCTTGGTAGCACATACCGCTTTCCTCCTGACCTGCCAGCCTATCACAGGGGCCATTATCATAATATGAATGTCACAATGGTCTTCTTTTCCACAGAGAATAAAAAATGACAATAACCAATGATAAACCTGGTTCCACACACAACACAATATTGAAATTAAAACATAATTGAAAGACACTCAGCGGTCATCATATTACAACAATCAGAATTTCAACTTGATGAAACATTGTATATCAAACCCTCTCACAGCTGGCAGGCCTACGGTGGCTTTCAGGATTGGGCACAATAGCAGCAGTAGCAGCTGTAATAGTAGTAATAATTATAGTAATGATAATAGTAGCAATCATCGTGTACTATTGGGGATGCTCCACCATGTCTCTTCGCCAGCTTCCGCCTACCACTGACATGAGCAGGGAGTGAGTCCCTACTGACAGCCTTTCTTTTACCCAATATATATAGATATATATGCTTAAATTATATAATGTATTATTTATATACCGGTTACTCATATACATGATAATTTCTCAGGTAAAGTGACTAAATGGGTTACCTGGGCTGCCAATAGAGAGACACTGCCCTCAACTAGGATTCTAGTGTTCAATGCACAAAAATAATCCCAAACAAAAATAATTTTACAATATTTCTATCATTAAACAACAAACATTGCCTCCTCCTTTATACATGCATGGGAACATAAAACATCCAATTTTGATATTACATAAGTCTTTGTCCAGGGAAGTATACAGCATATTAATATTATAAATTTTTGTTTTACAGTTTGCAAATGTTGCAAAGGTTTACACCATTCTTGTACCTGAGCATATAACAACTTGTTGCTTAAGAGGTGACATCAGATTTGATGAAATTCTATAAAAAGTTATAACAATTTTAATTTCTGTGCAGACAATAAAAATTGTCAGTATTACTACTAATGTGTTAAGAATTAAATAAGAATTAAGATTATAAAAATGGCCAATAGATGATTCACCATTCGACATGGTGTGGTTGACTGAAGGGTGTGTTGTATATCACACAATTTAAGAGGTTTTGGGCACTTTGCATCCTTCAGGTGACTCCCACAATTCCCTGTTTGTGGCATCATGCAGGACGCTGCCTCCTTACCGAGACTTCTGCGCCATCATGGTAGCTACTGTACATTGTAGACACTCTTACAAAAAGGAGATTAGCAAAAATCTCTACTATATCATAAAAAGCAGAAAAACGATGTTAAATTGTAAAACCATTACAGCACAGCTGCAGGCCCTGGCATTCCTCAAGTACATTTGCAATAGCTAATAAGAAAGTCTCTGATACAGGATGGATCAACATGTAAGGAACATCTTTACTATTAAAACTTTCCTATACCATCCTTGGACCTAACAGAAATCCAGGGTCTATTTATGGATCTGCTCACAAGCAAGCTTTGCAGGTAGACTTAGCGACTGAAAATGCAAATGATGCTAAACTTCCCATACCCTAATGAGACTAGTGAATTCTGTAAGCTTTTCAACCCCTTCATTAACCATCTTCTAAGTTAAGATATTATCATCATCAGTACTATTACAAAAGTTGCAAAACATATACAACAACTTTGGTTACAAGATAACACTAAGTATAAATTAGAAAAATTAAAAAAATATCTATAAAAGCAAAAACAAGTATAAAACATGACTACTTTAACAATCACATACATGGAAACAGGACCTCGACATGGGTATAGGTGAGTGATCTCCTCGTATCACACTTTTCTTGTTACAATTATTCTGCATGTTTCACAAAAATATGGCAACACGTTCCTCAGCTGCTTGATCCTTCTTATATATCTGCCAGCTTCAAAAGTAGAGTTTGGTTAGGTTTTCTTCTAAGAAACTAGGTCAACCATCTTGCACATATTGTAGCTGGCTCTCTTCTCTGCTTTAGTTCAAAGAGCTGAGGAAAGTGTATCAAATCTTTAATAGACATACAGTAGTTTCTCACCAAACACAATTACAGGCAGGCACTAGTTATGCTTACATTAAATGAGGGCATTTGAACAGTACAGTGAATAAAATAAATTAACCATATTGATTTTGCAAGTTATACAACTTGTTAAACTCAGCAAAGCAAACACCCAGTTACTATCACTCTGTTCTAACACTCATACCTGTTTAACAAGTACATTTAGATGTACAAGTGCTTGTACCTGACCATACAGGGACTCGCTCGAAAAAGTAAAGGTTAAATTGTATGGATCTGAAAACTAATTTACCTTGATAATTTTTATATGCAGTTTATACATTTATGATGTTTTACATATTGTTTCATAGATAAATGGAAGAAAGAAAATTCACTATGACTATTTCTTATCACTTGAAATCTCGTTAGAAACATGCAAAGGATCGGTAAGGTAATTAATGATGCTGTATTGAGTACCTTGCCTTACCAAAAAAACTTTTTGGTACATTAAAATATTACATATATATCTTTTCTCTTCCACTGTTACACTTCCTATTCCATCCCTCACACCTTCAGAAGCAATATTGAAATAGTAAACTTGAACAACAATAAGAAGACAGAATAAATACATTTTAATCTGGAAACTATAAAAAAAATATCAATTACTCCATTATGCAAGAAACTGTATATTATAAAAAGAAAAATACTCTGTAAAATAGAACATATCCGTGAGATATATAAAGTTAAAGCTAATGCAAGGCATGCTTAGAAGAAAAGAAGGTGATAAAAGCATTACTTTGGATCCAAAGGCAGCACACACACCTCATCTGGTTATCTTGAAAGAAAAATATATAAATAAGCATTTGTAATAAAAATTCCCTGGGATTATTTTCTAGTTCTTCTCACTTTTAAATACTAACACCATATGACTCTTGAAATTCAGCACCAGGAGCTAATGGCCAATTGCACAGATACTGCAGCCTCCAGAAGCAAGCAGAAAAACTGTTTGACAGCGATAAAGTATTCTCAAATGGTAAGAAATTTAACATAGTGGGGGAGAGAGACAACAAACGCAAGAAAAAAAAAAGAAAAATCCAAATGGTAAGAAATTTAACATAGTGGGGGAGAGAGACAACAAACGCAAGAAAAAAAAAGAAAAAAAAAAAAAAGAAAAAAAAAAAAAAGGAAATTACACAAAGCATTTTCCAGAGCCTGCCTAATAATACAGTGGTTAAGTGACTATAGTTCGGCCAGTGAATAGTAACAACACTCACTGCCTGTCAGCCTACAGTTCAGAAGAATGGTTACTGTGACATGTACTATTCACAGTGGTTTAGGAGAGAAACTAAGCAAACACACAATGTTGTAATAGCATTTTAGAATAATAATCAAGGGAAGAGATAATAAGTTGGGAAATGTGGATGAGAGAGAGATAACAGTCCTGGGGAAGAGATGGCTGAACTTTAATTACATGGAGAAACCTTAACTTGTGAGCCAAGTACAGTAGTTTTGAAGTATAAATAAATATCAGTGTACAGTGGCTCTCTTGACCATGTTCAACAATTAATTGCCAATTGTAAACTCTGCTTAGTCGGAAAGCCCATGAATTTTTTTCTTCAGTATATAAAACTCCCTAAAAAAAAACAAAAAAACTTCAGATCTTTTGCCATAGTAATAAAAAAAAAAAAAAAGAAAAAAACATCATAAACCTGAAGACATCTTAAAACCTAAACACTGCAAGCAATATAGTTTAGTTCTTTCTTCTAATTATATTGAAATCAAGGCAGTAAAGCAAAGAGCTTAAAACCATCAAGACTTTACAGATATACCAATTTTCTTTTGGAATAAGGATTCCACCTGAATCTCCGAACGGGAGCCAAAAAGCTAAGGGACAAAGCTGCAAGTATTCTCAACACTGATTTGCTTAGCTTGTTTATACTGCAGTAAGGTCAGAAGAGGGCTTTGAGAAACAATGCAGAATGTTAGTTACTGAGATCGTGCTACAAACTCAAAGCCCCCTTGATGTTGAACAACAGCTATTTCACAGTTACACCAATAATGCTGACTAGACACCTCCATGGAGACTACAAATATATATAAAAACTCAAAAGTCACAAATATTAAGAATCACACCGAGCCTTGAATAATAAATTCAAAGACGTAAAAAATCCACGACGGGATTCATGCTGAAACATCGGACAGGCCAGCACACTCGGACTGCTTTCTGCCCTCGCCACCTTCTTGTTCTTGGTATGGGCTAGTTGGTATCATGGCACTTTACCTTCTGGTCATCAACAGCCATCTCTTCCATGAAAAAAAACCAAGGGAGGGCAAGGAACCCTATGAATTCTGATTGTCTAAACCTAACCCAGTTCTGACTATTTTTAGATTCAAGGAAAAAGATTAAAGTACATGTGTAATATTCCTACCTAAGTCTTGAGTGTAGCATTTCACTCAAAAGATGAAAAAAGCTTATGAATGCATTCATATTTACTATTCATAGTGAGAAAGCAATAGTATATAAAGTTTTCTGAAAGTCCCCAAGTCAAACCTCTAGAAAAGTGTGTAAAATTTTTTTTTTAAACATGTTTTCACATTTTTCTAAAATAGAAATGGACATGCCATCCGACCCCACTATTGCTCTTATACGAGATTTCAAAGGGCATTCACTGCGCACAATCACCTCCCCAGTTACCGCCCCAACCCCAAATTCTCACATTGAGCAGGTAGAGTCTCTTCCACAGACGGTTCAGTAAAAAAATAGTATGTACAAATATCAAAAAGTTCACCTCAGCTATATACTGTACATCCATCAATTAAAAGCCAGCAAAAAGACATAACACTTCATTAATATAAAAATCATGCATTTCCATTAAGAAAGGATACACAAGAAAATGACAACATAAAAATATAACTGCCTATGTCTTCTTTGAAATGAAAATATCATAATAAAAATACATGTAAATCTACACTCACTAGCGACACAATGCAATCATGTATTCAAATGGATATGAAATGGGGATGAGTCTATGTACAGTGTTACCCAGCCTCTATGAAATGAGGCGAACGCAAATTATCAAATTCCGCCATATTGCAGACAAGGTCCTCAGGGGAGGTGACTGAATGCCCTAAGAGTCTCACCGTGATAAAATCTGGGTCAGGATATGTTGTCTCCACATTGCTTAGCCAATGTTGTGTGCTATTTTCTTTGGTTTTTTTCATAAAATAGGAGATCAAGTCAATATGACAAGCCAGTTAATTCGACAAGAATGACCACGCTAAAGATACATAACATGCAGAATTATATTTCTTATTTTTTCCCTCTCTCTCTCTCTCTCTCTTTCTCTCTCTCTCTCTCTCTCTCTCAATCTCTCGCTCTCTCTTTTTTTGCAATGATCCCCTTTATGAGGCAAGGGTTGATTGCCCCTCAATTTATCAACACGAAGTCACTGGCTCGCCAATCTCTTAACTGGCAAAGTTTCAACCACTTCACATTTAAGGAGTCCTCTGCATACATCATTGCAATCTATATCTTCATTCTGTGTTTAACTTCGCAAGCAAGCTATATGTGAAACTGTAATAGAGACAGTATTACAGTCTCAACTATTTAGCTACAAAGTTTTTTTAATCCCTACAAAAGTTGCAGGTCTTTTCTTACACAGTACTAGTAACAGCAAAAGACAAAAAAACTAGAACTGTTAACTTGTCACAAAAACACCCGCATATGCTAGATGATAAACTTACTAACAAGGACAGTATCAAAATTCAAACACGCAAAAATACAAATTCTATATGGATCAAAATTATCCTAGTGCAAAAATCTGCATATCACACACGCACAATGCTGATGGCTACTCTATCAGGCTAGAGCAGATGAAGTATAAAAGTAAGTACACTGACTGTCATTCTCGGTATAAAGAAGGTGTGGACACTTTGTTTACCATAGGATTTCTTGTTATGATTTGGCTGCTTTTGGTGAATCCTGTTTTATTACAGTACCAGTTGAACTTGAAAGTACTTCTACAAAAATCATCAGTTTCTACAATTGCTGATACCTGAATTATTTCAAGGGGATTTGCCATGCTTTGCTGGATATCAGTAAAAGAGTCAGAACATTCTAGTTTTTAAAAGCACAGCCAGAGTGAGACAGTTGAGAAAGTACAAAAGAATATGCACATGTGAAGTAGGTTCAAGGGTTCTGAGGTATCGGGTATTACAGACAAAAGATGTAAAAAAAGTGTTTGTAGAGTAACCAACAGCTGCAGCACGACACAGTGGTATGGGTTGGGGTATCCAGGCCATAGCAGTTAATACATCACAAGCCAGAATGCAAAGAATAACTTGCAGGGGAAAAGAGAGATATTGGACATGGCTTACAGAGGTATTTAGTAACCAAGACATTTTTTATCAACTGCCTTGTCCTTGACAGCCCCAAAAGTACAGTACCTATGGATTCCTAGAGCCAAGGGGATCCCCAAGGCTTGCCTTGAATAATGTTTAACCTGCCACTGACTACAGCCTAGACAGCAGGAGACTGCCACAGACCCACTTCCAATAGTATTTAAGCCTTCAAGCTTAACTGTTGATGGACAGAATCTTTGTGCCTACCTTAAAATTTATATTAAATGCTTACTACCAATCATATAGTTGTTATTATTTTTCCCTCTCTTTTAGAATTAAAAAGCAATTTGCCCTCCTCATTGACTCATACTTCTAGAGCAAACAAATCTGATGTTACAACAGGCAAGTCAAGGTAAGCCTTCCCTCTACATTGGTCTCCTGCATCTTCAATTAATGTATGATGTGATCAGCTATGTTGAATCAAGAGTCTAATGTCCATGAAGTTCATTTTCTATTACTTCAAAATAGAAAATCCGCTTCATTAGGATACAAACAACAGGTCAAATCAGGCTGGCACATCACACAGAACTACCTCATAAGTTGTACAGACTTCTGCAGAGTCAGACATGTACTTCTGAGCCAGTGATGGTCCATGACTCTTAGGGTTATAAGAAGATACTGGTTGATGTGGCCCATGCTAAGATGGGGCCGTGTACGTCGTCGCCACTGAAAATGTCTAAAAATAACTGGAGATAACTGATCTTGTCATCATATCTTCTGACCCAAAGAAGTTACAGACTTCTCTGCTCTCTAGGAAAACATCTCCTATCAGTTATTAATATATATATTTGAATAGCACTGAAGCACAAGCCGTAACTATACTGATATTAAAAATTATAAAACACCATCCTATTACATTACAGTAATAATGCTTACATATGCACCATAGTAATCTTTGGGGTTATGTCGCACAATGAATTTTGAAAAACTCTTATTACACAATAATGGAACAAGGCTGACTTATGTTGACATCTGAGAAAATGATTAAGTTGGCTGTATATTTTTTGTATATCTCACTGTTTAGCAAGTAAGCCATTCTGTGGGTAAGCTTGTGAAAGACACTACAAATATTTCCGTTGTACAGAAACTTGTTTTTTTAACTTTTTTTTTACTACAATGGGTTAAAACTACGTCAGAATTATCAGCCCGTGTGCTTCTCCTGCCAGTTGTTGATGAAAAAACTGCGAAGTAGAAAATTCTGGCCCAGCTAGAAAAAGAGAGTGTACAAACATCGTTCTATCACAAGTGAGCAATGCTATCCAATGGCCATCATGTGGAAGAAAGAGCTAAGCCTCTGGGGATAAGCACTGGGCTGACAATTGGTCTACGGCACACTTTGGTTCACCCACACACAGAGACACGTGAAGCTCCTATTACACGCCACAACGAACATGGCATTATTATTATTATTATTATTATTATTATTATTATTTATTATTATCATTATATATTTTTTTTGTGTTTTGTTTGGTTTTGCTTGTTGACATTTTTTTGATAGTGGTAAATAATGGCTTTTGCTTACAGTGTTGGATGTGAGATATAAAAGAGGCATCCAGTGGGAGGGGGGTAGTGGGGAATTACTGACTTTGCTTGAGGACTGCTTGACTCAGTTGCTTGAAGTTTTCTTGATATCCTTTTCCTTTTTTTTCTCTTTCTCTTTCATTCTTTTCTCTTTTTTTATCTTTTATTTGCGCCCACAGCAGTTGGCAGGCATTGGGGTGGTCGCTAATTTATGGCAAATTTCTTCCTTTTACTTGTTTGTCAGGCACCATCCAGGTTCTCGGTGCCACCGCCATGGAGATCTACAATTATAGAATACGTGTGATCATATGACAAAGGAGGCGGGAGGAGAAGTAGATGTATTTCTGTTGCTGTATTGCTTCAATGGCCTATATGCACTTGAGGATACAAATCTTGCTGACAAGCATGAAGAAAAAGTCACTAGGGGTTACTATAATGAAACTAAAAGAGAGGAGTCTAGCACCACCTGAATGGTACAGTGCGGGGCCGATCGGCGCCCTCTTTGACTAGCGGCTTGTGGAATTCGCGTCCCGGCCGGGAGTGGATGGTCTGCCAACAGTGTTCGCAGTAGTATTGCAGGCAGGTTACATTGGCACAGAAGAAGGGGGCAAACTTTCCCCCACAACGTGCACCCTGGCATTCATCACACATTTGGTCGTCTAGAACATATGGCTTTACCTCAACCTGAAAGGCCATTGTTCTCATTAGATTAGGATAAATGCACATTTATATTGTGCAATGGAGTTCATCTCTAAAAATATATACATATACACATATATCAATGCATCTACTTCCAGTTATAATCCTTAATAATAAATATTCCACAATCTTCTTTACACTCAAAATCAACAAATCCAACACCAATAGCATCCACACATTACTTCAATACATACCCTTTTATCAATATCGCCATGTTGTAATTGAACAAATCGGGCACTAATGGCAGCAATATAACTTTGCTGGTTAGAAAAAGCAACTCGTCCTGCCCCCTTGGGATACTTCAGCTCAGGGTCTGTGTCGATCCCTGCGTAACATACTCCACCATACAGACGGTCCATTATCATTGCAAGTTCGACTGTTGGGAAGACGAGGCAGAAGAGGGTAAGATTAAGGATATGGGCATAAAATCAACAAATATTCACATGCCTAGAAAATAATTTACACTGAAACACATACACAACCTCAGTCACTCATGCACACAGATGCAAACATGAAGAAGCACATGAAAAGAGAATCAGTAGCATAACATTTATTTTTTAAAACCTATTTACCATCTGGCATCTCATATAAATATCCCAATTCAGACAAAGCGCAATGAAAATATAATACCATATACAGAGCCTGAGAAGGCCATTAATGTCTCCCATATGCAATTACTAGCATGGCTATATTTCTACAACCACATGTTTCCTCCAAACCTCTCCACAGAACTATAACTGTTAATTGCCCCTCCCCCCAAAAAGAAAGCAATAATCTAGTTGCATTCACTAAGGACGCATGTTGCCCACTAGAAGTCTAGCATATTATCATTATTCATTCTTATATGGCCCCAAAAGCACCAACTCACCAAACTGCTAATTCTCCCTACTGTTCTATTTAACCTTTTCCTTGACTTTGGAAATATCCTATTTCATTTTATATCTGTTATTAGTATTAATATCACTAATAATTATGATGTCAGTAACTATAATAATGGCACTGATGTTAACAGCATCAGAGAAAAATCCCAGAACTCAAGGAACGGGGAAATCAAATGAGGTCAGATAGGTTTGCTAATTGACTCCTGGTGGCTTTGCATTTATGGAGCTGTCTATGTGTAAAGACATTTCACATAACAATATTATAGTGACACTGCAAATTCCTGATGGCACTGGATGAATACCTGATGTCTTTCAACTGCAGTTACTTTAACCAAACACATAAAAAATAACATCCCATACTAAAAATTACTAGGCCAATAACCCTAAGGCAGCTGAAAACTAAATGCAAATATAGTAGCTCCCCTGTCCTCCACACTTCTCTTTCCCCAGAACAGATAAGGTCTGTCTCAACCCCCCCCTCCTCCTCTGCCCATTTCCATAAACCCACCAGCTTTGAGAGGCCTCGGCACTCCTCCCACAAACACTGTCTTGCGAGGATCCAGAGGAAGCGAGGCATCGAGGACGAAATCTGCGTCGGAGAGTCGCCAGGGCCGGATCTGAACGGGTTTGTCCTTGATGGTGGGCGACGACACACACAGGTACAGTTTGTCATCATCTTGAATACAGGCGTCTATTAGCTGTTGTACGCTGCTTTCATCCTGAAGTGGGGAAAAGTGTAATTAGTGACAGAGAAAAGACAGAGAGAAAAACAAAAAGTATCTATAAACATTCAGAAAATTTGAAAGCAAATACCAAAGTTTGATTCTTAGGATCTCTATGCAAATCTAAAAACTACTATGATTCTGCTTGTATCACAGAGGTTGTCAAATATTTCGCAACAAATCATTAACTCAGAAACATGTCTGATAATAATCTGAAAATACACATGAAAATTCTTAGAAGGAACAATCTGCATTACAACCATCCTCCAAACCAAGAAAAAATAAATAAGTAATAAATAAATGGAACAGCACTTGTCACCCGAGCCACACATCGACCAAATAAAATGCTGCCCTCCCTGTACAAAGCAGACCCATATTTGCACGTACCTGGAACAGGAGAAAGGCATACCCCTTGGGAGGGAAATAGGATTTGCTCTCTGCCTTGTGGGGCCAGTCCACCACCAGGGGACCAAAGCGACGGAAACTTGCTGTTATCTCCTCTGGAAGGTGGGGTCCTCATTAGCATCTTTTTATAGAGTTGTTATTGCTATTACTATGATCACTAATACTAATAATTATGTTTAATACTATCACAGTTATGACTACTGCCATTCCTAATATAATTGTCATCATAATTATGATTATAGTTACATTTATGCCTATTATCACAATCAGTATTATACATGTAAATGAATTCCTTGATCTTATTCACTTATTAAAAAATGATTATTCAATAAAAGTTATATAATATATACAATATAAGCAACAAGAGTAACAAAAGAGTATTATTCTTTTTTTTTTCTGAAAAGCAATTTTGTCCAGCTTAGTCCATCAAAAAGATATATACATATAACCTTCAACTTTTTTTTCAGCAAACTGGCGAGATTGAGCAAGCAAAATTAAAGCCATAATTGAATTTCACAAATTCTATTGTGCTGATGTACTATACAAGCTAGCTAAAAACCATGTCAATATGGATTTTAAAAATCAAACTATTCTACTGTTCATGCAATTAATTATCTGTTGTGTACAGATTACTATCAGTACACAATATATTTTCAGGCTTGTATCTGTACATATAAATGTGTTAAGCAATTCTGTGTTCTTCAAAAAAAACTAGCAAAAGGACACTAAAAAAGGGAATCTCTGAGGAGCTGCATGGCCAACGGAAGGCAAATGGCCCACTGAGAAACAGGGGCCAACGGGCCAGCAATTATTTTGAAAACCCCTTTGACATATCTTACTAAAGTTTCAAAAATCAAAATGATTTGCTGTTCTCAGAAAATCAATGGGTTCTCTAAGGGAAAATATCATATCTATTTCCTGATAAAAAAAAAAGCCCAGTAGAGCAATGGAGGCAAAATCTGCAGTCACATCCATAAGGAAATTAGAAAACAAAATAAATCAATCTAAATAAATAGCATAGAAGTATATTCACAAATCATGCTTATCCAGATGAAAACTAGTCTGGAGGGACAGAGATCAGGAGTCCACCTACCTTCGTCAATGTCTGGCGGGAGTCCTCCAACGAAGACCTTCCGCGAGAAGCGCTCGCCGTTTTCCGAGCCCTGAGAGCGCGGGGAGGAACGGGAGGGTGAGGGCAGGGGGATGGGGGCACTGAGGCCGTCCACCAGGTGCCCGTCGTCCAGTAGGACTCCGCCATCCTCCATGCCTAGGAAGCCACCTTTACCTGCCAAGAGTCATCAGTGTAGACTGGTGCAAGAACGAGGGGGAGGAGGGGGAGGGAGGGTTTTGTAGGGGGTGGGGGGGTTATTTTGTCAGTGCCTCTGAAGGTACAAGGGGCTTCTTCGTGGAGGGACTGAGGGGCTCTCTCATTTTTGTCTACTTACACTCTCTCTCTCTCTCTCTCTCTCTCTCTCTCTCTCTCTCTCTCTCTCTCTCTCTCTCTCTCTCTCTCTCTCTCTCTCTCTCAATTAGTCATGAATTCTTACTGTCTCTCTCTGTCCCTACCTCTTCTAAAACTCCCATCCATAAGAACTCAGGCTATCTTCTGTCTATGTGTATGCTTCCCTGTCCCCACTCAGCCCCACCATTTTCCTGTGTCTCTCCAAAGGGGAGAATTTTCTTTATTCCTAATTATTGTACAGCAATACTAACATCAACATCCGCTGAAAGATACACATAATAATAATAATAATAATGATGATAATAAAGAAGCAAAAAACAGAAGTGAAATTATCATTTGCATATGAAGTTGCAAACTACAACACACAAGTATAAGCACAATCTATGTGAACAAAATAAAAGATATTTCGTGGATGAGGATAAAGACATGAAATTTCAACATAATACTGAAAACACTTGGGTTTCTTTATATACAGTTTATGTTTAAAAATTTTACAAAAATAAAGAGAAAGAAAAGTACATGCGAATGGTGAACCGAAATTAATGTCTTACACTTACATTTGTGTGTGTGTGTGTGTGTGTGTGTGTGTGAATATACACATGTGTATAAATGTGGTGTCAATGTGAATATCTTTGCAACATAGCAAAACATAAACAAACAAATGAACACACACATAAACACATACACATGCAAGCAAACACTCATAATTTGAGCAGATTAGTTTATGGTTTTGTACCCTACATCACAGGTGACCTTGAGTAATTTTTCACAGAAACACAAACACGCAGACAAGCACACAGACTCTCATATGTGCACGCACACACACACACACACACACACACACACACACACACACACACACACACACACACACACACACACACACACACACACACACACACACGCACACACAAACACACACAAAGCATTGCACTCTGAAGACTTTTAGTACGTTTCCATGACAAAATTCTACAACTGCCAGTTCAGCATGCACATAGAATTGGGTGTTCAGGCAAGCTTAAAAACCCAAGCATGAGTATCATTCGTGTCCACAAACGCCCAAAACATATATATTTTTCTTCTTCTTCTTCTTCTTTCTTTGAAGACCTTTGATAAGGGTCAAGAACTGCTGATTAACTCAACTCTGTATCTTAGCTTATTAGAACTTAGCGAAACTGCACAAAAGTCAAGCACTCCCGACCCCAAACAAACATGTATACAATGGATATACACATAATGAGTTGCTTTTGATACTGTGCATCATACGTAACTATAAAAATTTCCAGCCAAAAATTAAAACCAAAATAATTCAAAGGCCACGAGAATTTTCCTACCGCTCTCTATCCTCCTTTTACTAAATCCTCTCACTCTGCAATCTTATCTCTGCCTAACCTCGATGTATTTGCTTTTTCGCAGTAACTAACCTGCCAACAAGCCTTAAAAAAAGAAAAAAAAGAAAAATCCTTTCAAAAAATGTATTTTCCTCTGATTCCACTGATTCCAACGGCCACTGAGAGTTCAAGTACAGCAAACTTGACCCAAAATCAAATGGAGATTTGAGTCATCTGTAAATAAAAGCATTTTCTTTTCTGTTAATCTACATTCTTTAATCATCCATCACCAATCTATCAGGGCATTCCACTAAACAAGGATAACTTTGAGAGGAAGAAGAATAAGCCATTTATACAACTGCTGCAACATTTTCATAGTTGTCTCTGAACAGACAGGGTACTACTCTTCGATCTCTCTGATTAAAATTGAAAGCATAAAAAAATATATATATATTAACACAAACAAATCGAAATGTACTCTGAATGTATTTAATTTCATCAGATCAGACTTTGTTACACAGCAACTATAATCAATCATTCCATATTAAACCATGATACATTCTCGAAAAAAAAAAATGAATATCACAAAGTATAACCAACACACAAAAACTTTAAGCCAAATATTAAAAATACCAATAACAACGATATTCAAAAATACTATATTAGTGCAAGAAAATCAAAATCAAAGACAAAGAGATAATTCAGTTCCAGTATATACAATATCTAATCGAGCACTGGGCCCAAGACACAGGAGACAAGCAGTGCACCCATTGCTGTTCATTGTGCGAGAATCCAAGCATCGTCCTCAACACGCACGGGCACAATTTGGACGTCTCTAAAGTAATCACAAATGACATCACGCAGACAATGTGGTGAAGGACAAACATGGAAAGAGCAAGCAACAGAGCAGGCATCCATGAACAGAAAAAAAAGAAAGAGAAATAAATAAAAATAGATATATATATACACATACATACATATATATACACACA